TGCAGATAGCAGACAATTCAAACTAGGAAAGAATGGAAAAAGTTAGTTTAAGTGTGTCAAGTCATATGCACATACTTAGACTTAAAGGTGGAGGCTAACTTGTTGGGAAGACTGAAGGAGGAGGAGGAGGGGGAGGAGGAGGAGGGGAGCAAGAAGTGGAAGAGGAAGAGGGTAAGGCGAAGGTGTCCTTTACTTTACATTACTTTACTTACTTTACTTTACTTTACTTACTTTACTTTACATTACTTCGAGAGGAAGTAATGAGACTGCAGGTGAGGGGGGACAGAAAGAGAGGGGGATGGCACCCCCTTTCCTCCCCCACGAGGGGAAAGCAGGAAGGGGTAGCTTCCTCATAAACCCTCCCCCTCCCATCCCCTCCCTCTCCCATCGGGGACGCTAAACCATCCCCTCTGCGACCCGGCCATCTTAAGAAATTAGCCGGACGGTTTGATGCTTGCCTTCACCCCTCACAAGACGTCTCTAGGGTGACGTCCTTCAGCCTTTTTCCAAACTTTTAGCTGATCAATTAGATGTAATTCGGTCTCCCCTTGGACGACGTACTATATTCGGTCTCACTCACCGCGTTCTGCTGAGATCTGTTTACTTAGTAAATCATTCTGTCTCCACCGCCCACGCTGCTCGTAACCTCTCCATTTACAGGAGTAGTGATGGGCGGAGATGAAACAAGAGTAGTGAAGGGCGGAGCTGAAACAGGAGTAGTGAAGGGCGGAGCTGAAACAGGAGTAGTGAAGGGCGGAGCTGAAACAGGAGTAGTGAAGGGCGGAGCTGAAACAGGAGTAGTGAAGGGCGGAGCTGAAACAGGAGTAGTGAAGGGCGGAGCTGAAACAAGAGTAGTGAAGGGCGGAGCTGAAACAGGAGTAGTGAAGGGCGGAGCTGAAACAAGAGTAGTGAAGGGAGGAGCTGAAACAAGAGTAGTGAAGGGCGGAGCTGAAACAAGAGTAGTGAAGGGAGGAGCTGAAACAAGAGTAGTGAAGGGCGGAGCTGAAACAAGAGTAGTGAAGGGAGGAGCTGAAACAAGAGTAGTGAAGGGCGGAGCTGAAACAAGAGTAGTGAAGGGAGGAGCTGAAACAGGAGTAGTGAAGGGCGCAGCTGAAACAAGAGTAGTGAAGGGAGGAGCTGAAACAAGAGTAGTGAAGGGAGGAGCTGAAACAAGAGTAGTGAAGGGAGGAGCTGAAACAAGAGTAGTGAAGGGCGGAGCTGAAACAAGAGTAGTGAAGGGAGGAGCTGAAACAAGAGTAGTGATGAACTGAACCTAATGAACCTAATTCCCTTGCCTTAATGAACTGAACCTTCCTTGTTTTAACTAGCTTCATAGTAAGAAATTTTTAATACTAACAAGCAAAAAGCGAGAAAAAAGCCGAAGATATGCAAAGAGTGCCTCGAACGCCCACCAACATAGGCCTACACAGAAGCAGCCGCCACTGGAAAAGCTGGAGTAGGCAGGATACGGACACAGAGCCAATACTCACCCCCTACAATAGTCAGGAGGCACAGACGTCCAAGAACACAGCTGTTCTCTATCGTAAAAACGATTAGGCAACGCTCATTTTCCGTTCGTTAAAACTGTATGTATCGCATGGTTACCATATACTTGTTTAGCCTAGTCTCGGTTGGATTGGTTTAGGATGATTTGGGTTAGATTGGGATGATTTAGTGGGTAGGGTTTAACAATCATTTCACAAACTGTCTTGTGTACTATGTGACTGTACTGGTATCTTTTGAGTACAGTCACAATGCTGTACTCAGTCTTGTACTCACTAGACTGTGAGTACAAACACAGAGGTCGGTGGCTACGGCTCGCAGGACACGTAACGGACATGGTGACAAAGTCGTCCCGTCACAGGGGAGGGTGTCCCCCCCCCCACCAAGCCCGTCACAGGGGAGGGTGTCCCCCCCCCACCAAGCCCGTCACAGGGGAGGGTGTCCCCCCCCCACCAAGCCCGTCACAGGGGAGGGTGTCCCCCCCCACCAAGCCCGTCACAGGGGAGGGTGTCCCCCGCCCCAACAAGCCCGTCACAGGGGAGGGTGTCCCCCCCCACCAAGCCCGTCACAGGGAAGGGTGTCCCCCCCCACCAAGCCCGTCACAGGGGAGGGTGTCCCCCCCCAACAAGCCCGTCACAGGGGAGGGTGCCCGTCACAGGGAAGGGTGTCCCCTCCCCCAACAAGCCCGTCACAGGGGAGGGTGTCCCCCCCCACCAAGCCCGTCACAGGGGAGGGTGTCCCCCGCCCCAACAAGCCCGTCACAGGGGAGGGTGTCCCCCCCACCAAGCCCGTCACAGGGAAGGGTGTCCCCCCCACCAAGCCCGTCACAGGGGAGGGTGTCCCCCCCCCAACAAGCCCGTCACAGGGGAGGGTGTCCCCCCCCCACCAAGCCCGTCACAGGGAAGGGTGTCCCCTCCCCCAACAAGCCCGTCACAGGGGAGGGTGTCCCCCCCCCACCAAGCCCGTTACAGGGAAGGGTGTCCCCTCCCCCACCAAGCCCGTCACAGGGAAGGGTGTCCCCCTCCCACCAAGCCCGTCACAGGGGAGGGTGTCCCCTCCCCCACCAAGCCCGTCACAGGGGAGGGTGTCCCCCCCCCACCAAGCCCGTCACAGGGAAGGGTGTCCCCTCCCCCACCAAGCCCGTCACAGGGGAGGGTGTCCCCCTCCCACCCCCCCTACCAAGCCCGTCACATCATGAAGTACTTGAGGATAAAACCCAGCCCTCGGGGATTGACGGGGATACTGGCTCCCCCTCTCTGGAGGAGGGTCCCTATTGCCCCTTCCAATCCCAGGATCCTCACAGGGTTGTCCTCCTGTGAAGTTCTTCCAATCATGCCCTCCCCTCACCTCATCCACAATCCTCCACCAGAGGCCGGAGAGAAGGAAATGAGGTGAAAGAACAATTGAAGAATGAGGACAAAAACCAAATATAATAATGAGAGATAAGAAGGGGAGAAGTGAAGAGAAAGATAGAGAGAGGAAGGGGCAGGGAGGGCGTGCACGCGTGTCGTGCTATGACCGTGCCACAGTGAGCTTCAGACGTGGGAGATGAGTACGCCCATGTACGTGATGAGTACGCCCATATGAACGTGTCCGTGTTGAGTTTGGTGACGGTGTTGATAATTTTCACAGCACATAAACCTTTTAAGTACACACACACACACGCACACACACACACACACACACGCACACACACACACACACGCACACACACACACACACACACACACACACACACACACACACACACACACACACACACACACACACACACACACACACACACACACACACACACACACACTCACACACACACACACACACACACGCACACACACACACACACACACACACACACACATACACACTAATGACAGGCAGATCACCTCGCGTCTCACCGTACTTCAATGAACCAGCAGCTCGCTGGTTCATCATTAGTCTCACTGCTCTTCGAACTGAGCCGAGCGCAGATGTTGTCCCATCAGCGGGCGATCTCTCTCAGCTCGTCAGCTCGGCGAGCTACGAGCTCAGACGAGCCCAAGCGCTCCGCACAGCGGCTGGAATATCGGTGATTAAGGATAGATTGCTCACTTCGCGAAAACACCCATTACGGTGCTATTGCCGTGATGGTTAGAGGGAGGGGTGGGACGGGAGTGACGGCGTCTCGCATAAATGGAAAAGGGAAAGAGGGGGAAAGAGGGGGGTGGAGGGGGGAGTGTGAAATGGAAGAGAAGGGGTTGGTAAATCCTGAGGCAATACTTCGCGTTGTGATCTTGTGACTGCTTGCGTGAGATGCACAGTTATGGTGTCTGTCTGTCTGTCTGTCTGTCTGTCTGTCTGTCTGTCTGTCTGTCTGTCTGTCTGTCTGTCTGTCTGTCTGTCTGTCTGTCTGTCTGCCTGTCTGTCTGCCTGTCTGTCTGTCTGCTTGTCTGTTTGTCCGTGTCTGCCTGTCTGTGTCTGCCTGTCTTCCTGTGTCTGACTGTGCCTGTCTGCCTGTCTGCCTGTGTCTGCCTGTCTGCCTGTGTCTGCCTGTCTCTGTCTGCCTGTCTCTGCCTGCCTGTCTCTGCCTGTCTGCCTGTCTGCCTGTCTCTGCCAGCCTGTCTCTGCCTGTCTGCCTGTCTCTGCCTGTCTGCCTGTCTCTGTCTGTCTGCCTGTGTCTGCCTGTGTGTGTCTGCCTGTCTCTGCCTGCCTATCTCTGCCTGTCTACCTGTGTCTGCCTGCCTGTCTGCCTGTGTCTGCCTGTCTCTGCCTGCCTGTCTCTGCCTGTCTGCCTGTGTCTGCCTGCCTGTCTGCCTGTGTCTGTCTGTCTGTGTCTGCCTGTCTACCTGTCTCACCATGTTTATTTTATTTGTGAGCTTCGTTTCGCATGCCCCTGTCTTCTGCTTTTCTTGTTCTCTTCGCCTGTGTCTTTGTGTCTACTTCGTGTCCCTGCGAGTGTCTTTGCGTTTAGACGTTAAGCCTACGTCATTCTAGTCTAAGCCTAAAACAACAACACCAACAATCACAGGGTCATATATCACATGATTAAAATAATTCAAATTATTATTATTATTATTAATAGACAACGTAAACTAGATACTCTAAATATTTTTATATTCAAATCTGTATAATGGGATTTAATCTCAAGAACCCACTCCAGGTGTATCTACTCTAGGTATACACACTCCAGGTATACACACTCCAGGTATACACACTCCAGGTATACACACTCCAGGTATACACACTCCAGGTATACACACTCCAGGTATACACACTCCAGGTATACACACTCCAGGTATACACACTCCAGGTATACACACTCCAGGTATACACACTACAGGTATACACACTCCAGGTATACACACTCCAGGTATAATAACACACAAAGGGTCAAAACAGAAACTTATTCTGCCCAAACCTACACTCACTCCTGTATAATACAACAAGTAAATACAACTATGGCGCTTTAGCTAGGTCCACCCAGCTCCAGATATGTATATACGTAGTGTATATATACCTCAAGTATGTATACTTGGAGTAGGCATAACTGGAGTAGGTATATGAGGATTAGCTATAACTAGAGTAGGCATAACTGGAGTAGGTATATGAGGATTAGCTATAACTAGAGTAGGCATAACTGGAGTAGGTATACGAGAAGCTATAACTGGAGTAGGCATAACTGGAGTAGCTATAACTGGAGTAGATATACGTGGAGAAGCTATAACTGGAGTAGGCATAACTGGAGTAGGTATACGAGGAGAAGCTATAACTGGAGTAGGCATAACTGGAGTAGGTATACGAGGAGAAGCTATAACTGGAGTAGACATAACTGGAGTAGCTATAACTGGAATAGGTATACGTGGAGTAGCTATAACTAGAATAGGCATAACTGGAGTAGGCATACGTGGAGTAGCTATAACTAGAATAGGCATAACTGTAGTAGGTATAACTGGAGGAGGTATACGTGGAGTAGCTATAACTAGAGTAGGCATAACTGGAGTAGGTTCTTTGGACGTTCTACTTCCCTGAGTGACCCAAGGTGACCTTAACTTCAACAAGGTCATGCCCAATATGTTTAACATTACGCAGTTAAACCTCAGTAGTAATCTTATTTAGTTTGTAACTCTGCTTTGCGTTAGCCAGTGTTTTGTTTGTCATTCCTCCACGACGCTGACATTTCCTCTCTTCCTCCGGAACCTGTAGGCCTATTTCAAATTATTACGAATAGGCCTGTTGTTACAAGTAGTTTCTAATCTCACCTTAGATCAGCCTATTGGTTACCACCCCGGTCTTAGGCTCTGGAAACTTAGTTATATATTAAGACTCGTAATTCAACAATTATGACTGAAAAATCGTAGTGATTGTCAAGAGATGTGTTCATAGATTGTATAGATGCAAGTGCAGAGATTAACAATAAATAAGTAAAGCAAGAGAAATAGGGTGTGTGAGAATATAAATGGTCCAGCCTAGAGAAACAAGACAATAAACACCATTAAACTAAACATCCAATACTTGAGTTTAAATGAGACAATCACCGGTAAATACTGCCAACTACCAGCCCTTTAAACAAGAAATCGCGGGATGGTATTCCACTAAACTATCCTCTTAACTAGGGGATTATTCCCTTAAGTTATCTTAAGGGATTAATCCACAATAAATATGCCCCACTGTCTGATATATTTCGCTTGGCTCAACAGGGATAATCAAAGATTACTTAATTAAAATTATCAGCCAACAGTAGCCTCTCTCAGATGTCCATAAACTGTTTGAAATTAAGAGAATCTGAGGCTACAGTCACGCCTGTCGACTGACAGTCTATAGCCTGATAGGGGCCTGACAGCTGAGTGGACACCGCTCTGGATTTGTAGTCCTGACGTTCCGGGTTCGATCCTCGGTGGAGGCGGAAACAAATGGGCAGTTTCTTTCGCCCAGATGCCCCTGTTCATCTAGCAGTAAATAGGTACCAGGGAGTTAGACAGCTGCTACGGGCTGCTTCCTGGGCGTGTGTAACAAAAAGGAAGCTTGGTCGAGGACCGGGCCGAGGGGACGCTGAACCCCGAAATCATCTCAAGATAACCTCAAGTTAACCACGTTTCCAGATCTACGTTAACGACTTTTCTTAAACCAATTACCATATTCAAAACTGGTTTTTGACAAGGGTAGAATGCATAATCCACTTTTTATATACTAGCTACTAGTATATAAAAATATACTAGTATATTTTTATATACTCCATATACTAGCTGCCGGATCTAAGAACATTGGTTTTGGGAGTCTAGAATACGTGGCAGCGTCGCATCAGCTGACAATCGAGAAGGTTCAAATAAAACCATTACATGACCCCCGCCCCCCCCCCCCCCCCACCCGACCCACCAGATCGTGGGTCTGATCAACAATCACTGATTATCTCTAAAACATATTTACTGGGTCTGTTGGTTACATAAAAATTAAATAAAGGGTGTACGAAATGGCAGCACTTTACATTCTAGAACCAGGAAATGCAAATTACATGATATTCTATTATTTAAAGAACAAAATAAAAGCCTCTATGTTTCACACAGAAATCACAATAGCGTGATGTATCAAATGAACAAATCCACAAGGGCCGTGACGAGGATTCGAAGTTGCATCCGAGAGCATCCCAGACGCTGCCTTAATCGACATTTCATTTGATACATCACGCTATTGTGATTTCTGGGTGTAATAAAGTAAGAGCGAAGAGGTAGAACGGCCTACTGACATAGCTCGAGTGCATGGGGGGAATTGTGTAAAATCCTGGTTTGTGTCTCGGAGAGGCTGCAGGATCCAAATAAATTCAGTAGAATTTCTGGTTACAATTCCTATACCATGTCGTAGCTCAGTCGATTCAGGCAGCGTCTGGGATGCTCTCGGATGCAGGTTCGAATCCTCGTCACGGCCCTTGTGGATTTGTTCATTGGTCTCTATGTTCATTTGCATACATTAATATATAACACTACTGCAGATGCAACATATGCAAACTACTCATAACCTAACCTTTGCAACATATGCAAACTACTCAAACTACTTAGCAGTCTCCGTGGTGTAGTGGTAAGACACTCGCCTGGCGTTCCGCGAGCGCTAAGTCATGGGTTCGTATCCTGGCCGGGGAGGATTTACTGGGCGCAATTCCTTAACTGTAGCCTCTGTTTAACGCAACAGTAAAATGTGTACTTGGATGAAAAAAACGATTCTTCGCGGCAGGGGATCGTATTCCAGGGACCATAGGATTAAGAACTTCCCCGAAACGCTACGCGTACTAGTGGCTGTACAAGAATGTAACAACTCTTGTATATATCTCAAAAAAAAAAAAAAAACATTTAACCATGACTATGCTTGCCAATCATGACCATACTATGCAGCAAGACAAATTTACATATAATTGCCCATGTCACAAATACCGGCCAAGCCAAAAATATGCTGAAACACACATGTAACAACTTACCTCAAACAATGTGATCCTGTGATCAACCTGTGATCAACTCATCACAAGCTCAAAGATCATCACAACTAATGCAAGTCGCACAATGGTATGCAACTGAATCACTGGGAATAGGCCTGGGTTGGCCACAGAAAGGCACTTAGACTTTTAGTCGTGAACGAGGCTGCGTCCTCGTTCACCCATCCACATAACAACCCAAGCCTGATCAGGCAGTTGAAGTGTCCCTTTATTACCCTAATCTTTCCCCCAGTCAAGAAAATAATTGGTTTATAAATGCTTGAGTTTCTTGTCCCATCCCACAGATCCTGTCAAAGCCTGTGACATATGACAATTACGGTCGTAATTACCATGACCTGAGACCATGATCAGGGGCACCATGACCTGAAATCACCTGTAATTGTGTCCGGACTTAAGACACCCTAATCTCAGACCCGAACCGGGTACAAAAGTCACGATTTCTAACCTAACCTAACCTAACCTTGAGTCCAAATAATATCCTGCGCGACACTTTCTAGTGTTTAGTAAATCCTCTGGTGACGATTCTGTGTATTGGGTCCGGGAGTATATCCCAGGTCCCACGGGACGGGATATAGCGAGTATGCCTGGCGGTATATCCTCTCCCTACTCCCTATATCCCTATATCTCCATATACTTAGCCAAATTCGTCCCGTGTCGCGACTGGAGGCGCAGGAGAGAGAGATAAAGATAAGGCGCAGGAGAAGAAAGATAAAGAGGAGCTGCAGGAAGAGAAGAAGGGTAAAGAGGAGAAAGGAAGAGAAAGGTAAAGAGCAAGAAGGAGGACAAAGAGGAGAAGGAACCTCGGTCCACGGAGACCTGGCAGGGAGGACCGAACAATTATGTCTGGCTTCATAACTCAGTGCCGATAATTTCTGGTGTTTACTATAATTGTATGTATCGGTCTCCTCTCTCTCTTATTCATTTATCTGTAGGTAGTTTATGGGCCCCAGACGGCCAGGGGACCGGGCCCCAGACGGCCAGGGGACCGGGCCCCAGACGGCCAGGGGACCGGGCCCCAGACGGCCAGGGGACCCGGGGCCCACAATCACTCTTGCACCACTGCCATGTGGGGGCCCCTCACAGCCCAGTCCGTCCTCCTAAGGTTTCAAAACGTCAAGAAAACGGTCAATTTAAAGTGCCCTTATCCTAACCTACCAGAGGACCCAAAACAGAAAACGGGACAGTACGTCACTTTCGCCAGCCGCTTACATTTTCTAGTATGACGATTTTGGGCCCTATGTAACGCATGCGAGCGAAAAACGACGTTCTTTGTAGGAGGACAGGTTGTAGGAGGACAGGTTGTAGGAGGACAGGTTGTAGGAGGACAGGTTGTAAGAGGACAGGTTGTAGAAGGACGGGTTGTAGGAGGACAGTTTGTAGGAGGACAGGTTGTAGGAGGACAGGTTGTAGGAGGACAGGTTGTAGGAGGACAGGTTGTAAGAGGACAGGTTGTAGGAGGACAGGTTGTAGGAGGATAGGTTGTAGAAGGACAGGTTGTAGGAGGACAGGTTGTAGGAGGACAGGTTGCAGGAGGACAGGTTGTAGGAGGACAGGTTGTAGGAGGACAGGTTGTAGGAGGACAGGCTGTAGGAGGACGGGTTGTAGGAGGACAGGTTGTAGGAGGACAGGTTGTAGGAGGACAGGTTGTAGGAGGACGGGTTGTAGGAGGACAGGTTGTAGGAGGACAGGTTGTAGGAGGACGGGTTGTAGGAGGACAGGCAGTAGGAGGACGGGTTGTAGGAGGACAGGTTGTAGGACAGGTTGTAGGAGGACAGGTTGAAGGAGGACGGGTTGTAGGAGGACAGGTTGTAGGACAGGTTGTAGGAGGACGGGTTGTAGGAGGACGGGTTGTAGGAGGACAGGTTGTAGGAGGACAGGTTGTAGGAGGACAGGTTGTAGGAGGACAGGCTGTAGGAGGACGGGTTGTAGGAGGACAAGCTGTAGGAGGACTGGTTGTAGGAGGACGGGTTGTAGGAGGACGGGTTGTAGGAGGACATGTTGAAGGAGGACAGGTTGTAGGATGACAGGTTGTAGGAGGACAGGTTGTAGGAGGACAGGTTGTAGGAGGACAGGTTGTAGAAGGACGGGTTGTAGGAGGACAGTTTGTAGGAGGACAGGTTGTAGGAGGACAGGTTGAAGGAGGACAGGTTGTAGGATGACAGGTTGTAGGAGGACAGGTTGAAGGAGGACAGGTTGTAGGAGGACATGTTGTTGGAGGATAGGTTGTAGGAGGACAGGTTGTTGGAGGACAGGTTGAAGGAGGACAGGTTGTAGGAGGACATGTTGTTGGAGGACAGGTTGTAGGAGGACAGGTTGTAGGAGGACAGGTTGTAGGAGGTCGGGTTGTAGGAGGACAGGATGTAGGAGGACAGGTTGTAGGAGGACAGGTTGTAGGAGGACAGGTTGTAGGAGGACAGGTTGTAGGAGGTCGGGTTGTAGGAGGACAGGATGTAGGAGGACAGGTTGTAGGAGGACAGGTTGTAGGAGGACAGGTTGTAGGAGGTCGGGTTGTAGGAGGACAGGATGTAGGAGGACAGGTTGTAGGAGGACAGGTTGTAGGAGGACAGGTTGTGTGTATGTACTCAC